ACACAAGCACGACACAGCATTTTGGCACACCAATTCATTATGCTAAGACCTCAACACTCTGAGGCTAAGCTACATGCCATCTGCTCTGACAGTACTTATGACCTGTGCTTTTGCCCTGTAGATATAAGTAAATGTAATGTCTAACTGGTACATTAATAAATTGACATATACACTCTGACCTAAAGATCTTATTACACATTACTAAGGCTGAATAATAAATTAGACATGAAAAAAATACGTGTAAATATTTACATTATAGTATATGTTGCGAGCAGTATATCATATAACATGTATATATATATAATGAATAATAGTTAAGTAAAATTTTATAAACAAAGTGACTATATAGCAATTAATTATGACCTATCATGATAGTCTTATTGATGGAAGATTATAAGTAGGAGAGATGACGTACGGGAGGCAGAATGAGCAGCAGAGAGAGAGAGAGAGAGCAGGCAGAATGAGAAATAAATGATATGCACACGCATGCCAGGATGCAATGAGAATATAGCTCAAGTATATTAAAAGATGACATTAGGAGAATCAGCAGATTGGATATATTCCAGATCAGTGAGGAGAGGCTACAGGAAAATTCTCACACAACCACAATAACTACACGTTATCAACAGAACAAAAACATATAAACACGCATAAACAGATTGGAGCTCAGATATGTAGATGCATGTTTAGAAGAGGTCTAAGAGTGAATTGTTTATTGTCTAATCCTCTCCTAGTTGTCGGCTAATAGGCGCATCAAGACCACAATTATAAGTAAATAACAGATTATAATTTCCGACCGCGTTGGTCACTATATATACATCTCATAAGGGTTTGGTTACTCCAAAGATACACACAATATATTCGTCGCTTTCAGACGTGGCTCCTGTAAATGTGTCGCATGTTATTAATGTAGGAGAGAGAATACCCAATACGATTTAAAGCATATCTATTTTCAAAAGCCAATGGATTGAGTCATTCAATATTGTCATAATTATATCTTAAATCCTGTAAATCACTTATGGTTACCAGTTATTCCATTTCACATTGGCGAAGACGAATTATACATCCAAATATCAATGAATTGAGCTGTTTGCACATTAGGGTCATAAGAATTATAATCAGCGTCGCGATTATCTGAACGCAGAATGTGCAAAATGATATTAGGAGTAGCAACATATTAATAATCGGATGAGCTCGGGAAGGTCAATCTCTCTTATCACTTCTCTCTATCTTTTGTGCACACGTCGGAATATACTTTAGTTCATCACATAACCTTAAGCACCACTCTATCTCTATTGGCTCACTACTAAACAAAACACCCTAAATAGAAACAACAACACTATACTGAACTGAGTGACTAATCTCTATTATCACCATTTCAGGTGTATACACTATAGGTCCTTAAATCGTATATATATACAATTTATTATCATAAAGCTCAACATTATTCAAATAATATACTTGATATAATTGAGTATCATCTATAAGATTCCTAAATACTTACAAGTACTAATTATTAGGATATCACATTATATATGTCATTAACTTATATAATCATCAAAACATAATCAGCTTAATATCATGTAGTTAAACAGGTGAGTCAGAATAAATTAATTTCTTTATCCACTATATATAAGTCTAAAGATGTATTAATATAAATACAATAGAATATGATTTTTTTTCTATTTTATTTTTTAGGTATGTGTCCATTCATATACATATTAATAAATACAGAAGTTAATTAACGTATATGAACAGCCAGGATGTTGCCACCCTATCTGCGATCATTCATAACCAAACTACACATGCTTCGCCTATCAGGACCTTGAACAGTATACTTGAAATTATTTCAGTGGTGATGGACAATAACACTCACCAACTTTTAGATAAATCCCCCTTGATTAATGTAACACAATTACTACAGTACTATCTATCATCATAAAGATAGTATGGTTCCAAGAATGGGGGAAAATATACCACAAAGTGGCCACAAACATTGTAATTTTAGCTATGTAATAATCTACTAAAAAAACACATGGGTACAAATCCATACAAAATTATTAATACAATACTTGTCTAGTACCCATGCTTGTTCTGCCAAAGGACGAATCTCAAATACTCGTGACATCATCTAGTTTTCAAAGGTTTATTCCACAATCCCAAACAAATTGTCTAGACAGGCCTCTCCTCGCTTAATCACCTGACTAGAAGAGGTTGCTGAGGAATCGCACATGCATTGTTAGCTCTTTCCCCTTGATCTATCACGCTGATATTACAGTATCTTCTCTCTCGATCTAGAGCAGCAATGCATAGTTAACCTTTATCTATATGCATCTATAGACGCATAGTTACAACGGCACTCTCGATTTCTTAGAATGAAATTCATGCAGCCAATGCTGTGTATTTGAAAATAAACTATATCATATGTATCCAGTTAATGCATGGAAGGCTGTGGGTTTATACTAGATGGATGCATCATCGGGGAGAATTATATTCTCAGCTGTAATTATCGATTTGTGTCAGCGGGTTATTTCGTGTCTGTTGTCGTATCCATTATCTCACGTGTGTGTTTGTGGATTGAATTCTCTCTGCATTTGCAGGCTTGGTCTGCTCTGGTCTTGTTCGGTCATCACAAAGGTGTGTGTCTCTTGTTGAACGTGTTTGTCTGGCCTCGTAGTATTATGAGTTGAGTCTTTGACTTATATCTCCTGAATACGCTAGCATTGTGGTGCTTCTATCGTTGTGTGTGTCGTGTTCTCATCTATACCTGTTCATTGTGAAGAGTAATATAGTGTACGTTCTTATATGTTTCTTATGTGTGAATGTCGTTGACCTGGGTGTATATTGATGAGCTTTCTCACAGAGAGTAGCTTGCATAGATTTCAGTCCGCTAAGTAAGTAGTACATTTTTATTTTTGTTGAATGCTATATGAGAGAATGTATAGATAAAAAGTCACGAAACAGTCTTTCGATATTGTTTTGTCTCAGTTCAATGTATTTGTGTTAACACTCACATGAGAGCATGGATATATAGGCGATTGCTGTCGCACACCTCACAAGTGAACAACGGGTCGAATCACATCATTGCAATCACACGCTCTCAAAATGTAATCAGTTAAATTTTCATAATATCAGGGTAAGTAAATCGTCACTTACTTTCATTGAGTAATGTAAATAAGGGAAAAGTATCTAAGGTCATTAACAATAGAAACATATGTAAAATACTGTACTTAGACTGGCAAAAAAATAGCTCTAACTTCAAACGACCCTAAGAGCTAACTACTTCCACACTATGCCGCACCAATGCCAAGCAACACATTAAATATATCAAGTATAAGGCTAGAAATATTTATTAATCATCACCCTGTATACAGTAGGTTTCGATAACAGGAAATCATTATAATGTATCATTATGATTAACCAGAGGCACAACTAGGGCTAGCTTGAAATAGATACCATCTATAGGATATAATATCTTAACATATATCACATAGTCATAGTAGGGCTTCTTATCTATAAAGAACACTTACGACATAGCATCAATCTGCTTCTTTACGGTGTATGCCACCGAATTAATCCTTGGATCATTTTGCTCATAACTGCAAACTCATATCATTGTCTCACATAGAATAATCATGAGGACTCTTCTTATTTCTTAGTAGAATAGGTAAAGAATACATAGATGTGAATACTAATATATACATAATAAACGACTTTATCCCAGATGTTAAATCACATAAGAGGAAGGCTACAGATTAGGATATATTCAGACTCAGATCTGATTTACCATCGGTTGTCGCTTTGTGTTGGTATTAGTGTTTGGTTGTTGAGGTGTGGATTATCTACAAGGACTTGTTAATGAGGGCGTGTGTTATTATAAAGTGAGTATCCAAGTTTAAGCTGTGTTTTGGTATCTGAAAAATTTGAGTGATTAAGTACACTATCATTTTCTATTGTCCTCTAAATTACTGAATTACGGACGAGTGTGTAACTCACAGTGTTACGAACCTAAAAATAATCACCCTACAAAGCTCTTATTTTTATCTAATGCCTGCACCCACTTTAGTCAAACTCACTCTTGTATACATAAGAAACGCGCGCATGCTTTTCATCGAGTCATGACTCAAATCCTGTTAGCGACTGAGCAAAACTCCTAGAGTTCAGATGCATTGGTCTATAACTATAGCCTTCATAGATGCTATCCTCAAGGGCAAACGCCTATCTGGATTATGCGACTCCTGTTTGAGATACAAAGCCTCGCCTATCCTCGCATCACGCTGAACCTCCGCTGTCCTCGACATGCCTAGTGCTTTAAGGTATCCCTGTGGGGTAAAGGCACTGCTTAGGAAGGGCTTGATATTTCAGCAGTTAGGATTTTATTGTGTTGGTATTTGTTCACTTAGTCTTTTTTTTTTGTGTGTGTCTATATATACTCGCTCTCACTATCACTGTAACTCTGTCTCTGTCTCTCTGTCTCTCTGTTCTGTCTCTCTCTTTCTGTGACCATGAACTGCACTTTGAAGAGTCATGCTTCACAAACTGGTGTTTGAACAGCAACAGAGTGGCTGCATAAATCAAAATTGAATTAACAACCAGTATATATAATCAGCGTAAAAGGCCTGTGAAAGGGTAATATTGAAGATGTTGTCCATTCAGATCTCCTCCGCATCAGTGACGTAATCCAAGAAAGGTGGAAGACCTCCATGCAACTTGGCACCAGTGCTGTTGCAGTTGCCAAAATGAAAGCACCAACATCATAGAACATGGTAAGTGTAATTCTTCTATACAGAGCTGGAGTTCTAAGGTCAATTCATCAGTGACTTAATCCAATCTGCCCAGGATGGCAAGAATATATGCCACCCCCACTCTAATATTAGTTAGATGGCTTTCCACGAACTATTCACCAAGGAGTCACTTATTAGTTCTATCGATCTCACCTGTTTACCCTTTATTTTTTTCTATTATTCTAGTCTTTATTGATATTAGTATTTTAATAAAACAACAAATAACAGTAATATTGATGATAATAATAATAACAATACAGACATTAATAATATTAGAAAGCAAAACACATTTTCTCAGCAATTCAAGGAACGGGGAAATCAAGCGCTGTCACTAGGTCCAACAAATTGACTCTTTGGTGGCTGAGCACAAGTGGAGCCTTCCGTATGCACAAAAATTCACCAAAAACTACTGTGGACAGTACAAGAATCTGCATTCACTTGGTTACATTTGTTCTCTCCTCTTCTTGGACAACACTCTTGATCTTCCTTGAATTACATTAGTGCTATAGCTTCTCTTCCATATCAACTATGCCTTTGCCTGGGCTCGAGAGAGACTCTAGCGCTGCGGCAAAAGCGATGACACAGCACGACAAGTGACATTCACAGGTTATGAGATTCAAGTTTAATTTGCATTGAGAGATACCAGGCATTAATTCTGACAGTGGGACTGTTCCAGCACCAACTCATGAATCATCACATTTTACAACAGAGATCAAGTGGCCACCTATGACAATAACAATAATAGTAATGATAATTATGATATTAACAAAAATACATACCACGTCATCGGATATATCCCTGATGGTGTAGGAGAGAACTTGGAGGCCGAGGTTACAGAGGTCCTTGGAGGCAACTTCAAAAACACGTGAGTTGAACAGCTTCCGATTCTTATAGATATCCTGAAAAAAGGAAGCCAGGAATTAAAATTCACAAAATGCCATGTGAGGAAAGTAGAGTTCATTCTCAAATGATACATAGAAAGAAAGCAAATGCTGTATTACATAGTACAAACACATATGACAGAACAGAGCAGAAGACGAGCACAGTAACACCCACCTCTACTGACATAGTACCAAGGATGGCCCTCTGGTGACCCTCTAGTGTGGCGGTGACGAGTGCCTCGATTTGTACTGTGGACTTGCGCAGAAAGTGTTCACACGCCCGCTCGAGGATATCTGGATGCTGTGTGCTGACCTTGACCTACAGGAATGGATCTCATTGTTTCAAAAATAATATGAACTCTTTATTGTTCTGACCACCTCAAATTGAGAATAAGAAAGATTAAACACTCTATTTATTTACCGTCCCATAGAAGAGGGAGTAAAAAAATACTACCATCATACAGTATACCAAACAATGATTGATGCATTATGGTTTGTCAAAAGGACAATTTGATCTCTCTAAGCCTATCAATTTGGGTAAGATATGCGTCACACTCACTTGAGCAACTCCACTGACAGTGAGGGGAACTCCCTGGGAAGTGTAAACTTCTGATGAGGTTACTCTTAAGGTCATAACATTGAGTGACATCCTGTAGAGGGAAAAGGGGAACCAAGATAAGTTTTGTTTATATATATTGCAAGTATAAGAAACAATCAGTATATAGATAGCCAAATAGATAAGATATATGCATGTTTTAATCATTTTTACTATTTTTATTCTTTATCAAAATCACCAATTGTAATATAACAACTAATAGCTATACATAGTACAGGGTACATTTTTTTTTCTTCTTTGTTTTTTGGTACTGTCAACAGTTAAGAGTCCAATCTCTGTTCCTGACTGAATTATCTTTTTACTCGCCAGTCTCCTATGATTCACTGCCTTTCTGCTGAAAGAGTACATGACTATCATATCAATCATGAACTGGTAGCTGAATGACAAATGTAATGGTGAATTGCCCAAGCATTTTTATTCATTCGCCAGCTACTGTATATATTCATTTATATATATACGCATGTGTGTGTGTGTGTGTGTGTGTGTGTGTGTGTGTGTGTGTGTGTGTGTGTGTGTGTGTGTGTGTGTGTGTGTGTGTGTGTGTGTGTGTGTGTGTGTGTGTGTGTGCATCACGATGGTGACTCGGAACTACACTGATTCAAAATGATTCGAGTCAAATGATTCTTCATGAATTGAATCGATTCGATCCGCTTGGTGTCAACGTAGCCTGAACCACACTCATTCCCGAATTAATAATTTCTTTGGACTCATTTAAGAACTGACTCACCTGCGCCATCGCTGGAGGCATGGGAAGGCAACTATTCTTCCTCCCGTGATGAGTGCTGACTTCCGGTAGCCTAAGCCTGTAGGAGAGAGAAAAAAAAGATGAAAATTTATAAACTGACCCTTTACACATCACAATAATTTTTCCTTTTCTCTTCTTATTAACTCCATCCAATGCATTCCATTTGAAAGTAGCTTATGGTAGATTCATAGTTTTCGCTATGATTAAATTTGTTTTAAATATCATTTATTGAAAATTTCCTGCCACGTCAACATCTAAGGTCAGTAACGGTAACGAAAGGTCATACAGCATTATAATAAAAGTATCGTGGCGAAAAGGGTAAAATGAGTTAACAATTAGGACAAAAGAAGTTATATACCAAAGGTCGTAAAATGCTGTAGGTTAGTATGGTAGTGAAAAGGATAAAAAGGGAAGGTTAAACGGAGTATGAAGGTCGTTCAGGACTGACAAAGCCAATCTTTTATCCTTTCAACAAGGATCTCACACTTTAAGAACTGGACAAACGGGGATGAAGAGAAAGAAAAGGAAAGGAGAAGAAAAGATCATGCAAATTGAGGCGAAGGATCAGGTCCAAGTCAGGGGTCAACCCACACATTGGCCTCGGTCCCTCAGCCCCCCCCCCCCCGCCGAGCATGGGATTGTGGATGTTATTTTAATATCTTCCTAGCACACTAATAGCTGAGTGTAAAGCCATTATATGAACTGTACTTGAAGAGCCTACATCATTACTTGAAGAGAAAAAAATATCATGAATACCATCATTAAGTGTTTTACTTTTTACCCCCATTATCTTTAATATTAATAATTATCAGTACCTTAATGTTATTATCATTGCCATAATAATAATCATCAGAAACCTAATTTCACACCAATTTTATTTGTTGCTTCCCGGATTCACGCTTCATCTTTTAATTTAAGAAATAAATAATAATAATAATAAAAATAGGGTGGACCAGAAACGGCTACAGGTTTTGTTTTCGCAAACCTATAAATATTGCTCTATCAAAGGCACATGTTACTGGAAGCCAATCAGAGAGCTTCTTGTGGTCATGCTTGAGGATAACCAATCAGAAAGCGTCTCACATTTCAAAACAATGTGGCGCCTTAGAAAGTTTTGTTGTGTCTGCTGTTCGCCACGCTAAACTCTAGAACTAAACTTAACTTGTAGTTTTAAACTGTATGTTTTGTTTAGTTTAGTTGGGATAATAGTTTATAGAGCATGTAGCCAATAGAGCAGATCGATGTCTTTTGTAATGCTGAAAGTCTTCATGCAAAAAAAAAAAACAAAAATGGCAGTGGACAACAAAAACTGTTGTACATGTCCGGGTTTGCTTGAATTTTCAATGTTACTGGCTTATTAAACATCATACAAAACAAAAATTACAATAATAGTGGCAAATGCAACACACGTAAATTCAGTCAAAGGCGATGTTCTTTATTCGAAATTGTAGCAATAGATCTAAGAACGGGATTCATTACATAAAACCATGAAAAAGCAAAAAACTTCAGCGATCCTGCTATTCTTTATGTTCTGTAAGCCCTATATCTTTACCCCAGTCTTTTTGTATTTTCACCTCGCCCTGTCGCTCTTTTTTCTGAAAAAAATCCAAGAAGCAGCAAACAAAACTGGTATGATCTTATGCTCAAATCAAACTACATAAAGTCAAGCCAATGTTACCCACTGGCAATTAGAATTTCTAAGATCCACGCCCCTCTGGCAATGTACGAAATGCTTTTGGCACAGCCACCCTAAGATCAAGCAAGGAAAAAGACAGGGCCAGGTCCTCAAAGTGTGAATCTGACACACTCTTACAGGGAATGCACCAGCACAGTAAATAGTGCTTAATATGTGGTGGCATCCACAAAATACTTGCAAACAGCTGCCCCGACCGCAAAGAAGCAATGAAATCTCCACTGATACACAAAGAAGAAAGAAAAACTGGAAACAAGACATTATAAAGTGGTGCCCCAAAAGGCATCCCAAGAAACGGTGCAAGCCACAAGTGATAGGAAGCCCCTTATAAACTACTCCATGGGGAAATAAAAGAAAAAACAAAGTTTAGGACCTGTCATTCACCTGACCCTATCTAACGAGTTTCCAAAGGTCTCATAATGGCTTTACTATACACTCCATCAGAACTTGACTTATTGAAGCTCCTGATATGCGGCAAACCAATATACATCATGGAACACCTTACCGTAAACCACCTCGTACTCTTTGAATGCAACCATACGATCACAGTAGGCAATGGCCTCGTTTCACTCACACAAGGCCATATAATCCAAGCAACCACAAAAAAAATACAGACCAAATAACAAACGAAATTAAGGCCACGCACAAATGACACTGGGAAACACTCACCTGGAGGTGTTAAGACCCAAAAGTCCCCAGAACATTTTGGAGCTCCTTCAAAAAGATCATGGGATCGAACCGACAACCAAACATATAGATAAAAGGCTGACAAGGGAAAGATGGAGTCTCTCCACAATTCTGGTTACAGAATTTCAAAACATCTCTCACCAAGAATGCCCAATTCTACGTAACTTAGAGACCAAGGTCACAGAATACGAGGAGATCGCCCTCGTCCTTACTATCAAGCACGAGATCAACGTTCCACTACTGAACGTTA